ACAATTAAAGCTCAATCAATGCATAACAAATTCAAAACTGCGTTTTGTGGAATATTACTTCACCATTTTGTTCCTAGATGAGTTGTAGGTTATTCATACGAGTCATGGTTGCACAAATGTTCGTACACCTGCAATATATAGAACTAGGTTGCATCATTTCACTGGATAGTGCTAGTCAGCAATGGTATTTTAGGAGTCGAGTTCCTTTAATAACCCGGTTTTGGAGTACCCAGTCATCTGTTGACGTAGTGCTCCATATGAACTATATTTTTCATATGCATGAAGATATGTAAAGAGTCTTCTGATTCCATGGCTGGCAGCATGAGAATCAGGATAAAGCTTCTTTACAAGAATTCTAACGTTTCGACCGAGTTGGCATCAGACATCTTCAGGTAATGAACACGAAACAAAAAGAACCTACGGGGTCAGTTTGGTGTTGGACGCCAGACCAATCGCAAATTAAGCAAATAATCATGCTCCTGAAAACTTGAAAAAATTAGTTTAACGGAGTACAGAAGACCATCAGTTACCGTAACCTTGCTCATTCTGGTTTTGTTGCTCTTACCCTGAACAGCAGTCGTATCATTAACGATGGTCGATGGACACCAGGACAAGGTGAAGATGTTAATCAGGGAGCCGCTGGGCATCGCTGGCAGCACAAATGGAACTTGCAATGGTTGCATTCGCTCCACGGACATTTCCATAGCGTGTAGCATGATTCACAGCTTAACTGGTAACCAGGCTAGCGTCTATTTAATCGGGCCAAACACCAACCTACTCAACAATGTCTTTATTTCTTTTCCATTCCCTGATGATGGCTGCTGGTGCCAATCATCGAACCTTCAACTTCTGCTTTTCTGTTTGTATCCGGATCACATCTGTTCGGGCTAAATGCGGCATTCATGGCCTTAGCTGAGGGTGTGAACATAGACAGAATTGAAAAACTAATCTGACATAACTACTCATTTCTCTTCATTACGGCAGATCCGTTTTGCTCCCTTATTGCTCCATTTCATGAACGAATGATTCATGAATTATTTAGTTGTTCTGTCCTCATTCACTTATAAATACAACCAATGACATTTACTCATGTACCTGTTGCAGTAGCACTCCATTAACTTTCAGAGTTAACTCATTGGATCGTAGACTTCTCTAAGACACAAAAGCAATGAACCTCTTTCTTTCAGGAGAAGTGCTTGCCTTTCTGTGGTCAAATAATGCGCTAATAGGCTATTCTAGATGAATAGCTTTCCATAATACGGATGGGTGGAACAGTCCTTGGAAAGGTTTTACGCTCCGTTCTTGCTGTTTCGAGTGATAATTCTTTTCGTTATGGATTGATGCCTGTCACTGAAGCTGAGCGGTGCATATCACCAATTTGAAATGATTAATTTACGGTTTACACATTGTGCTGATTTTCAATCGGCTGCCATGTGGGTCAAGGGTAATTGCAGTCGCAAGGCACATCTATCAAACTGGATGGCGGTATCTGCTCCATATTCTGGCATTACCCCTGCAGAAAAGGAAAACGGAAGTTATGCGACCATAAGGATGTCAGTTTCTTTTATACTTCCATGACTGGGGTCTTTTGTGGCATTCATCTTTTCATTAAGTTTATGATGCAGAGCTGATTTCCATTGCGATCCCATGAATCAGAAGTGTTTTATTTTCAAGGCAGAGTCGACTGCTATGTGGCCAGCACAGCGTGTGATGTCTTGTTTCCTTCCCACAGAGTGGTGGTCAGTTTTCTATTATGCAAGAAAGTCGAGTGACCCGACCAGGGCTCGAATCCGGGATCTCTCTTAGTTTTGAGCAAAACGCCGCGCTGTCCATGTCGTCCTCGAATCAGCGAAGCGCAGTTTGTTGAGTATTTTGCTTAAGGGAATTAGCAATTGAAAATACAATTTACTCTGCACATGGGTTTGGATCATTTGGCTCTAAGCTGCGAAGCCAAAGTATACTCCATTAGTCGTTGCTCCCTTAAAATCGAAATTCAGGCAGTGTACGACGGCTTATGGATCTCTCGTAAGGAAGGAGTTTCGCTACCTTTGTTCCTGCCTTTTGTAAAGATCAGTCATGTCAAATGTAGTTTTACCTCAGAACCGTCTTCGTACGCATACTCTTGCCGGTACTTGATCTGAAACCGCAATTATCAGTATTTTGGTTTCGTCATCGAGTTTGCTCTTGAACAGTCAGTTAACGTGTGTTGAAATGCCAGTGTTTGTGCCAATTTGTAAAAGTCACTTGTCAAGAAGCTCGTGGTTCTTCCTCACTTTATCTGGTTGTTGTGACATTCTCCTGGCGGCTTATCATTCATTGACCAAGTCAGATGTTTCATCAAGAAAATTTTCAATCAAGTTGTACATTGGG